GACATAGGAGAGGTTGGACTATTTTGGAAGAGGAAGGGGTCAGGGAAACAGAGAGGGATGGCTAAAGCACTATGTCTATTGATGAAGATGGCATAATGAAACCTGTTACTCTGTAAAATTGGAGTCCGCAATTTTTCAAAACCTTAGAAGACATTGATTTAATCTTGCACCTGGAGTTCCAAGGCCTAGCAAGACTGGGGCTGGTCTTGGGAACGTGAGTTTAGTTTATCAAAGAGCCAAAGAGACCTGAAGGCTTTTGTCTGTGTGTGAACTTGAGGGTGCAGAGGGAGGAACAATCCTTAGCTCCCTTGTTGGTTTGGAAACCTGTCTACCTTTAGGTAGATTCACTGAGGTGCAATGTCCATCATTGGCCAGTAGGTGGCAGTGCATAATAAATAAATGGCATCTTTCCCAGAAACTCAGGGAGCCAGCCAGGTCCTGCTACTTCAGGCCCACCACAGAGTGCCTTCAGGCTCCCTTGCCTGTGGTGATTCTGGTGACAGCACAGGGAGGACTTGCAGGTCATCAGTGCCAGAGGCAGCACCATCAGGAAAGTAGCTCCTGGAAATGGCTGCTTTTGCTTTCATTGACTTAAAGCAAGATTTAAGGGGTCCCAAGACCTAGGCTAAGTCATGGAAGCCATTCAGTACTTTCGCTCTGGAGCATCTGGTTGTATGGAATGGAAATCAGCACAGAAGTAATGTTGACTCCATGGTCCTTCTTGCTGTTGTTTTTAGCTCTCCCTCCCTGACTACCTGGGGTCTCTTGGTGGCTCAGGAGGGGCAGAGTGGAACTGGGGGGAGCAGGGTACAGGAGGAAGGAGTGCTCTGGCCAGCATCCACAGCGTTCCAAGAAGAGCAAGGGGAGGAAAGAAATCACAGGAACAGCTCGAAGAAAACGGGAGGGGTGTGAGGACAGGAGTGTGTGCGGGGAGGGCGTGAGGACAGGAGTGTGTATGCAGGGCGGGTGTGAAGACAGGAGTGTGTGCAGGGCGGGTGTGAAGACAGGAGTGTGTGCGGGGAGGGCGTGAGGACAGGAGTGTGTATGCAGGGCAGGTGTGAAGACAGGAGTGTGTGCAGGGCGGGTGTGAAGACAGGAGTGTGTGCAGGGCGGGTGTGTGGAGGACAGGAGTACCCGGGTGCAGATCAGGAGAGGGTTGTGAGGGAGTGTGGAGGGAAGTATGCTAAAGGTGAGGGCTTCTCTCTGACACACCTCAGGGTGCCCACGAGGGGAAAGAAACTCTGGGTACTGCATATGGGACCTCAGTGGCTTCTTGTAGGGTAGACAGCAGGGGGCACTGTGGTCTGCCAACATCCCGGATACTGTCTGTAGCTGGCACTGCCTCTTGAAGGTGACATGCCCAGACCCATAGCCAGAGGAACTAGTCCTGTCCAGGTCCATCCCACAAGCGGCCATCTCGGGATGGTATGTTGTTCTCTCTGGAGCCTGAAATTGATGTTTGCCGGAAGCCTGATGCAGTTTAGCCACAAGCCCTTAACTCAAGACCAGAGGGTGGCCACAGCTCCTTGGTAGATGCCCTGCTGGGCCCGGGAGCACCCCACTCACCCTTTGCCAAGCGCACCCAGCTCTGGAATCCATGAATTAAGATTTTAATGACCTTGAGCCAACTCGAGGACCTGGGAAAAAAGAAGGAAAAACCCCTAACATTGTGTGGTATGACCTCATGGAGTAATAGACCACTCACGTCTTGCACGCTGCTAAACTCGGTTGACAGGGCATGCTGGAGAACTAGCCCTTGGCAGTGGCTGCTGTGAAGGGTGAGATGTTAACTGTCAAGCCTGGGAATCAAGCCCGAGGCAGCTAACTTAATGGCGAATGACTTTAGATGGAGAAAAAAAAAATCTCTGGGAGAAGAGAATAAAGGATAAATGTACATGCTATCAAGGGGCCTTTAAACTTCCAGCAGACTCCATCAGCAGAATCTGGTCCAGAGAACGTGTGGCTGCTACTGACTGGCCAGCACACACGGGCTTGGGCCAGCATGCCAGTGGCCTGCAGGTGACAGGGGGGCTGCGAAGCAGAGACACTCAGAGATACCCGCATGTCCTCCTTCATTCTCCTGGGCCATATTTGGGGTCTTCACCCAGATCCTACCCCTCCTCTGGCTGTAATGGGAGGTGGCAGTGGCCCAGAGGCAGTATCCTGAAGGGCCTGCCACTTATCCTTTGCCAGCAGTCTTTCTGGCTCCTTCACCTCAGCCCAGATCAGACAGCATAGCCAGTGCCCAGGGGAGACCCCTCGAGTGCTCACTGAGACTTCCTCAGGAGAGGACTGCGAAGTGCCTCAGCCCTGTAGCCCATGGAGATGCTGTGGTTTACTGATGCTCCATGTGGTACAAGGATCCTTGTCAGGATAATCAAAGGTGGGCAGGTCTGGGCAACCCCTGTGATGCCAGGCTCCTGGCAGAGCTTCCCAATCTGCTAAAACAAGAGGACAGATGTCACCCAGCCATGGAGCTCCTCCTCATGTAGGAGCCACCAGAGAGACCTAAGGATGGCAGTCTCGGGAGCCTCGCCCCTGGAAGAGGCTCACAGTGGCCAGCGCAGCCACCTGCACACAGAGGTTTCCTCTTTAAAGAACAACATGTGGCACTATTGGAGTGCTCCATGAGCAGCGTCTGCCCAGCACACACCAAGTGCACATAAGGCTGTGGGTTCAATCCCCAACACCACATGAACTAGCTATGATGATGTACCCTGGAAATCCTGGCACTTAGGAGGTGGAGGCAGGAAGGTGAGACCTTCATAGGTGTTCCTCGCTCACACAGTGAGCTCTTGACTCAGGGAGGGAGGGAGGGAGGCAGAGAGGGAGAGAGGGAAAGGAGGAATTCTTTGGGGACTCTCCCCAGTAGTCTGCATCCATGCAAGCAGTACAAGCAGTGAATTAGAAATCCTGTCTCAAGGCAGAAGGCCAGGACTCCACATGTGTCATACATGTCTGTACTCACAGGAATGTGCACACACTGAGCCCTCTTGATTGTGGCTGTGATGTGACCGGCTACTTCAAGTCCCTGCCTTGACTCCCTGCTATGATGGACCATAATGTGGAATTGTGGACCACAATAAACACTTTATCCTTTAAGTCAGTTCCTGTCAAGCCTTGAGAGAGGAGATCGCTGCAGGGCAAGAGGACCCCCCTATTAACTTCTCTGAATGGGCAGCCAAGGGCTTTTGTTTGTTTGAGACAGGGTCTACCTCCATAGGCTGGCCTCAAACCCACAGAGATCCACCTGCTTCTGCCTCCCAAGTGCAGGGAGAAAAGGCACTACCACTGTGCTGGCTGGAAAGCCCCTAATGTAAGGTGATGCACACGCCTTGGAATACAGCCTGTGGGATTTTTTTGTGTTTTGCTTTTTCTTGAGACTGGGCAGCACCCAGGAAACAGTGAAGGAAAGTGCCTTTCATTCTTCAGCTTCCTTAGCAAGAGAGGCCTTGCAAGGCTTGGGAATATGCTCTAGACCCACAGATGTTTGGTGAGAGGGAAACCTTGCAGAAGCTTCTAGAGAAACAGCCAAGCATCCCCGCTTGGGGCCCACATCCACGGCAAACAGTAGTAATATTTACCGAGTATTTCTGGGAAAATGAGTGCAAAGCGCAGGCGATGCCGTGCAAATCGCCAGGATGCAGAACATTAGCAACATGGAGCATTTAATGAGTCTGGGAAGAGAGGTATGAGTTTCAGGAAATGTCACTTACAGCAGTGTAAACAGGCTTCTCGGAGCTCCCTGTGCTGGGGACTCGTTCCAGGCTCCAGGTATAAGGAGGGCCCTGCTTCCGGAGAGACAGGATCAGGGGACTCGTGGGGAGGCCAGAGGGGTTGCTGGTGAATTTCAAATCCACAGAGGCCAGTGGGATGGAATCTCAGCACTATTGGATGGAAATTAACACTCCCTGCCCTGGGGTGTTTCCATGAGAGCATTTGCCATCCCCCCAATGCTTGTGTGTTCCCACCCCCACTTCATATGCTGACTAAGACTAAGATGGTAGAGGAGGAGAGGAGACCTCAGGGGTGATTACCTCATGAGGATGAGCTCCTGCATGGGATCAGTGGCTAATTACTTGTCATGGAAGCTTGACTACCTGAATTCAATGCTCAGGACCCACACAAAGGTGTAAGGAGAGATATTACTCCATAAAAGTCTCCTCTGACTTACATATAAACCCCTTGAAAAAGAGATCCAGGCCTGCAAAGATGTCAGCTGTTGAGAGCACTGGCTGCTCTTGAGCAGGATCCAGGTTCAATTTCCAGCACCCATGTGTTGGCTCACAACCGTCTGTAACTCTGGTGGCAGGCGATCTGACACACTCTCCTGGCCTCTGCGGGCACCAGGCGTGCATGCGGTGCACAGAACAGAGATGCACACCAAACACCCATATACGTAAGATGAGTTATAGATAAATAAGAGGTCCCAGGAGCACCCCACGGAGGAAGCCACACCTACACACTGTCTGTCTGTCCTCCCGATTCTCTGAGAAGTCCATCCACACGCTCTCAGGTGTGTCTTCTGAACACAGTGCCCCCTGCTGTCTACCCTACTCACACCTGCTCCTCATGCTTAAGCCTATACTAAAACACCTCTATCAACCCCACTATTTGAGAGCCAGCAGGGAGCCTGTAAGCCCCACAGACAGAGTCTGCCGTAGCTGTGCCTATTAGCCTCCAGATCCAAGAGCCAAATTCTCCTCATTGCTCTGTTTCTGAATTCATGACATCTTGCTCAAGCTGCCATACCAGACCTAAATGGAGGGTGGTGTCTTGTTAAGATCTGAAAGGTGAAAGCAAAGATCACGCAGTGCACTGCCTGTTTCAGGCAGCTTGGCTGCTCCTGCCACTCTTCTTGCTGGACTACAGAGGAAAGGTGTCCAGGTGGTTCCAACCGGCCCCGCCTAAAGCTACCCCTGCTGTAGCTCAGTGTGGAGCCCAGGAAGGGTAAAAAGCCCTTGGCTACAGAATGCTGTCTTCTCATCCTTCCTATGTAGTTCCGGACAATATCATCACCAGGGGTCTGGCTGACCGTCTGGACAAACAAGACTGCATCCAGAAAGGCTGGGTGCTGCATGGCTTCCCAAGAGACCTGGACCAGGCGAAGATGCTGAGCGCTATGGGCTACAGTCCCAACAGGTGAGCTGCCTCCCCAGGCCCCACCCTGTCCCAAGGCCCTGGCAGTCCTCCTGTGGGGTTCCAGTGATGGATGGCTGGTGTGCCAGCAACAGTTTCTAGTGCACTGAAGCAGACTGCGTCATCCCATCCCCTGACTTCCCACTCCGTTTGCTTTGTGAATGCCAAGTCAGGCTAAGGTTCAAATCTTGCTTGGCTTTCTTCCTTGCTTGCAGGTGGGTTTGAGTTCTGTTTAATGTGTCTCTGGCTCTATCTATGTGCATGATCTGGCCTTTGTAGGTTCGTTGGGTGTGGTTAAAGAATCTGTAAATCCTAATAAAATTTGGCCTAAAGCTTATAACAAAAGGCTTATAGTTAAAAATCTATACATAGGGTAATTTTAATTTGCCATAAACATGTGATTCAACTGTTTTAGAATATATTGCATATGTAACTTGGATTCAATTCTTGTTTTAAAAAAGTCTACTAGGAAAACATGTTTTAAACAGCAACCATGTGACTTGCCACCATCTTGGCTGATGACCTTATTGAGGTGGAAGCAGCCACATGGCTGGCTGCCATCTTTACTCAGGTTAAAAAGTTCATGTCATGTGACAGCACCACCTTAAGATGACCACGTGGCATAAAGCTACAATTACAAAACTTCTCTGTCCTTTAGTTTATCATTGTGTCTCTTTTTAGACTAAGGAAGCAACAACTAGTCTCCAAAATATTTTGGATTGGTATGAATTTTTATATGATGATAAAAATGTAAGTTTATAAAGGTCTACTCAAATTAACAAAAGCTGACTTAGAGACTTATACCTAACTACTTGTGTCTTTGTTAACTGTTCCACCCCAGATGAAGGGGGAAAATTATAAAGGAAGGCAGGACTGCTTCTAGGTGGAGAAAGTTTATTGTAGATAAAAGGCAAAGAAGAGCCAGAGGAGAGACATCTGAGAGAGTCCAAGGTGGACATGACCCTGAGCCGGGCCATGTGGGGGAAGGGGGAGGAAAATGGAGAGTAGAGGGTAGGGAACCAGCAGCCAGGAGGCCCAAAAGAGAGTAGAAGAAAAGACCAGGTAACCATCCTGGGTAGATTATACGGGGAAGGACAGCTAGGGGTAGGGCGGTCCAGCCCCTGGGCTGGAGGAGTTTAGGTAGAGACTCAGGGAGGCTGGGAAAACCTGACAGCCAGGTCCACCTTGATTTGTTAAATAGGCACCTCAGCTGTTAGGTTTGAAACCTAACCAGCTTCAACATTCTTAGGTCCACCTCTGAACTTTCTGTTTCCCATGTCCATTTCCCCAACACTACCACACCATTGAGCCACTTGAGGGTGAGGGAGGGAGGGAGTGTGTGTGTGTGTGTGTGTTGTAGGGATGTGGTGTGTGTGTGTTGTGGGGATGAGTGTGTGTATGTTGTGATGTGTGTGTGTGTGTTGTGGTGATGTGTGTGTGTGTTGTGATGTGTGTGTGTGTTGTGGTGATGTGTGTGTGTGTGATGTGTGTGTGTTGTGGTGATGTGTGTGTGTGTTGTGGTGGTGTGTGTGATGTGTGTGTATGTGTTGTGGTGATGTGTGTGTGTGTTGTGGTGGTGTGTGTGTGTGTTGTGGTGGTGTGTGTGGTGTGTGTGTGTGTTGTGGTGGTGTGTGTGTGTGTGATGTGTGTGTGTTGTGGTGATGTGTGTGTGTATTGTGGTGATGTGTGTGTGTTGTG